AATCAAGCTTGGCTGGTTCAACACTGCAATGAACTTCTCAGCAGAAAGTTCACAGACTAAGTACATTGACCTCCACGAAGCTGAGGAATCAACTTTAGCCCAAATAAAAGTCTTAGTTTTACTTATTCCTTTTTGGCAACTTAGAAAGAGCAAATGGTTCTAATAAAAAACGCAACTCTTTTGAAAACCTCTGTTGGTTTTGGAAAGGGGGAAATGGAGGATTTAGACTAAATCTCCAGATCCAAACCCGATTCTGAAGGGGGCTGTCCACTACTGCTGGCAGGGAGGAGAGAGCATTTTACTATTGCACGTGGCAATATTTAGTATAATATTTCACTCTCCTCTTAGCTTGCTGCCAAGAGTAACAATTAAAGTTCGCTTTTTCATAGATGAATTACCCTGAACGGTCTGGACTCCCAGTGGAATTGTTTTGTAATTTTGTTGATGGCAAGCCCCATATTTCATCTAAACATGATCATAATAAGAAGAATTTTTCCAAAAAAAAAAAAAAGGAGTGATTTTCTTTCCTACTCTAAGCATTACCATTCCCTCCCTAGTGTCCCACAAATAAAAGTGATTAAGACAGAGGCTAGCAGGGGAAGCCATGTGCTTGGGGGAAGGAGAGAATGCAGGTCACTAGGACTGGAGAAAGATGGGCTGACTTCTTATGAAATAAGAATTGAACGAACCAAAAAAAAAAAATAGCTAATTCTTGGAAGAGGTCCGTGCAACAAGAGCTCAGCGAGAGCTCGTATTTTAAATTAGGTCAGCCGGCTCTTGCCGACCTTCCTTAGCAGGAACACAGGGCCAAACATTCCTCCTTAGACAAGAAAAGGGAAGTTGCCTCCAAACAGAAGCGTGTAGCCCCGGGTGCTCTCCCTCTTCCCAAGCACTCGGTCCCGACGCCCAGTGGGATGTGCATGAAATGGACTGCAAGACACCTGTGCTGCCCGGGGCAATTTCACTTGTTTGAAGAGTGTTTTAAGTTTTGTTTGTTTTTTTAATGAGAATAATTTCACAAATTGCTTGGTAGGTGTTCTTCTGCAGTAGGTACAGTCAGTATCAACATCAGAATTTCCTTCTCATCAAAGCAGCTCAGAGTAGAAACCAGTTTGGTTTGGGGTCTCGCCATGGATAGACTTGAGAATCTTACTTATCACTGGTAACTGTAGAGAAGGGAACACCCTAAAGAGTAACCTCTTACCAAACACTGCCAAGTCCATTTCACACAAAGTTCTCACATTTCTTCAGACATACCCATATGTGGGCCCTGCGGGGCAGAGAACAGATGATCTAGGTTGTTGAGGCCTCTCCCCGAGGCAGACTCGATCCATCATTGCTCATGTGGGTTGGGACTTGGAAAATGGACAAGATTCCCCCCAGAAGCAGCCGCTGGCTTCCTGATGACTGGCATGGGCAGGTTCTCATTCAGGAGGTTGGCCTTGCAAAAGTGAAAATTGTGGCTCTCAACGAATTCGTGTATGTGTTTCTCGGAGAGGCTTTGCCCTGGAGTTGCGTACTGATGAACCAGGTGCACGAAACCTCCTCCTCCTCTCTCTGTGCTCTCCCTGTAGGCGCCCTCTATGAACAATCCCGCAGTGAGTGTTCACAGCAAAGGGAGCGAGGTGGCAGCCACGCATCAACATTATTACGCTAATGGTACCTTAATTTTTAACCATGTTAATGGAACAATTATTCTATCCTGCTGCTTCTTTAGTAATAATAATAATAATAATAATAATAATAATAA